GGTTGCTTTCGGATAATGAATCCGCAGGGGCCAATTCCCCGCCATGAGCCATTCTGTCATTCAATGGTCGCAGTTGGAAAGTACCTACGGAGTACTAGACCTTTTGTGCCAGGTGCTCAAGCTTGCGATGATGAACAATCCCGCTTGATGAAATCAGGAATTACTCTTGAATATTGGTCAATCGCTAAATGCTTACTAGTACTTTCTAACCTAGCTATCTAGGGTGTACCGCGTTTGGAAGAATCTTTACTATCCTATCAACTTGACGCAATATGTTTGTCTTGAAGTAGTACTCAAACACCGATCACTCAAACACCGCAAAATCCACGGAAAGATACTACTGTATACATCCGGCAGGTACGGAGAACCACTTCGGCCGACAGTTCCATCTCCCAGTTGATCCGTTTCAGATAACCCCCTCTTGGCCATCCGTACCTTTTCTCCATTTCGAGCGACAATCACACCCACCAGCAGGGGTGCGATAGGTTGCGTGTGTGGGCGCTGACAAACGAACGGAGCGGATCATGTTCCTTGAGGCGAGACAAGAACAACTTACACTAAGGAGACAGAAGACAGGGTTCTCTGGGATCCACAGGGTTCATTTCCTGGGACCCAAAGTCCTATGCAGCAAACTAACACCGGGGTTCCTGGTTCGTACCTTAGATAAATGGCCGGGAAGGAAGAATTGACCGACAGATAGAAGGATACTATGATTTGTTTTGTGCGTGCTGCAGCAAAATGATGATTGTGGCTGGCGGGCGCGGGTTCTGGGTATGGGGTGTATCCCGGAATACTACTATGATGACTACATTTCGTCGGTGGGTGCTTATAATAATAGCGAGTATTATTGTGGTGTACCTAACATGGTTACTTTATTATTATCCATCTAGTTCATTTCCCTTCCTTCGTGCTAACTAACTAAGTGCTGATGGATGATGAGGGCCTCGCTGGGCACGGAGATATTGCTTGCTTGGGCAATTGGCATCCGGGTCAGGGGAATTCGGGGATTGAATTTGGGGATTCGGGGAGATCTGCAACGAGCCAAAGGATGATGCTGATGAGGAGGATAATTGGCGATCAGTTGAAGGTTACTACCTAGTTAGTTAACCAACTATTCAGGTAGTCAGTTACTGTCAGTCAATCTGTCAGGAAATAATTTCAATTAATACCCTTATTCAATTACGTGATGCTGCTTAAATGAGTATGAGTATGGTCTCTAATCGCTTTACTCAGAGTTGTAATAAATTGATTACTATACCTAGGAGAAGAGATATTAACATACGTACCACAACTTAGTGTATACTCCACATCTCCAATATTGCACTGCATACGGAGTATTTCGTATATAATTTTACGGAGTACTTTAGTATCATTATCACAGCTTCGTCTACTAAGCGAAGCCCCAAACCCTGAAAGAACACACAACGCAACACAACGACCACCACAGACGGGCGTGTCAACAAACCACCACTACAAAACCTGGATAGTAAGTAACCCGCGGGGCGGGTTGGACAAATGAGCCATGGCCAGCTGTCAAGCTCCATTCCCGGTGGATGCTCTCCGGTAGGGATATCCTGGACAATGTAATTGTCTGGCCCCGTCGAAAACGGGAGGAAAAAACGAAAAACAGAATGAATCCTTACACAACGCACAACAAGCCTGTGGCTCTATCCACACCTACTGTTGTCCCTGCAGACAACTTCCCTTCCCATGGCGTCGAGAATGTTCAAGATGAATCCGTAATTCGTCTGGACTTCTTGGGTCGACTCGTCGGGAACTCCGCCCACCGTCGACTGCTGAACCATGGTTGGCGTCTCGGGGAAGTTGACTGAGTCTCCATAGATAGTTCTAACGGCCTGAGCGTTGAGCCCATTGCGGCCAGCCACTGTCTCTCTTTGGTCTATTCCTACTACTCCTTACTCACTCTTACTATATTTACACAGCCGTCATCCTGGTCTGCCATGAGTGTATAGCCGCTGTCAAGCGCTCACCCCCAATTACTTACTTAGCTAGCCACCCACAGCTGTCAAATATCTCGGAACACAATGTTTGACTATAGTCAATTATTTTCTCGGTTAAGATACCAATTTAATTCCCCTCCTCCCAATTCCTTTCAATCCAACACCATTCTCGCTTATCGCTTGGCTAACTAGCTAGCTCTCTCACTGACTTTCCACTAACTCCAATTTAAACACAATCCTCATAGTCTAGACACCTGTGCCCCGTCGCCACACCCAAATCCCGCGACCACTCAATAACCAGTCGATCCGAAAAACTAGACCTCCTTCCCTTCCCCTTTTGAGGTACAAGTCTCGAAACGAACTTGCCCGTCCCACGACCCAAAGCGAACTACCATCCAATCCGTTCGTTCGATTCCCATGCACGCCGCTCAAAGTGGTCATCCTGTGGATCGCGCCATGAGCTGAGTTCCGCGATCCCTCGACCCGACGACCAGGTCCAGCAAGCGGCGCGGCACTTGGCCCATGCAGAACATCATCGTCATCGTCATCATCATCATCATCATCTCAGATCCGCCCTCGTCTAACCAGCAGCTAGCTTAACTATCGCAGCGCTTCCCCCTCTCGCGTCAATAGGGGGCGTGCACTCATTGGCGCAGTCAAACCCCGGAACAAATCACCGTGCCCACCCTGCTGCTTGCCTTCCAACCCCCTCAGATCTGAAGGGACTTCCGCGAAAGTTTACCAATTGAGATATGCTTTGGTAGCTCAGTTTTCCTGGAGTTTATTTCGCGGAGTTGGTTGTGGCTAGAGACGGCCTTCTCGCCGCGATACTAAACTTCCCTGGAAGGGTCTGATTGCCACACTCCCCCTCCCTCCCTTTTTCTACGATTGCGATCGGTATCTAGACTAGGCAGGAGTTCTGAAGAAGGCTAATCGATCGATCGCGCGCCAGTACTCCGTAACCTCATCGACTAATCGCGACGACGACGACGATGATGATGACGATGCGCGAAGCAAGGAGGGTAACTTTCTTTCACGGTCCTCCAGCAAGCTAGCTTATCATGTCACTTACAGTAGAGCGCATACAGATAGGACTTTGTACTCGACAAATGTCCGCACAAGCCCCGACCTATGGTAATCCCCAATGCCTGTCCTAAGTAGTGGGGTACACAGGCTCAACAATATGCCAGGCTTCTCTCTTCCAACCACGTAGACACAGCGAAGTAAACTGCCTAATTATGAAACCTGGAAATATGCAGACACATCGTCAAGGCGCCAATTAAGCGCCGCCACAATCACTCACCCAAGAAACCTAGTAATACTCTTCAGCAAGACCGTCAAGCTGAAAAGCGCATATCCGCCACTCGCCCCCCAATCCATCAATTCAGGCTAAAAAGATACTCGCTATCAGCCCTCACATACTCCCGTTATCTGAGTAGAGTAGTAGTACAGTACGTACGTATATCTGTGGCAGTGCAGAAAAGCCCCAGCAGCTAGCCAGCGGCAACCGAAACAACAACACCAAACCAAAACTAAAAGGGTGTTCAGCTCCGCCCGCTTCTCCTCCCTCGGTAAGTCAGTTGGTCAGTTAGTTAGTTAGGCCAGGTTAGTCAGGTACCTGGAACTAGTTGACTATTCGTTGTTCTTTGGGTTCTTCGAAGTACGTATGTAGTGTACTGTGGAATATCTAAGAACCTCTTGGATTTCTCTGCTGTTATTTCTCACCGCCAGTTTGGGAACCCCTCATTTTTTTTGCCCCCATGGACAACTAAGTAGGTAACTAAGTGATTCGCTTATCGCAGTGGGTTGTTAGTCAGTCAGTCAGTCAGTCAGTCAATGCTTGCAGCAGTAAGTAGGTAGGTACTACGTAGTAGTTGTCAATTAGTTAGTACTTGGTTATTCTAGACTTCGGGGGTGGGTTGGGTTGGTGGTCACTTGTACATTTTGATTTTGGTCTGTGGTTTTCGTAGATATTAAGAGTATCGGGCTTTTCTGTGGTGATATATATATATGTGTGTGTGTGTTAATATATACTTTTCTTCGAAATGAACGAAATACTAGTTGAAGACAATATAACTTATGTTACTTATATACTTGAGCAAGTAACGGGATATATATAAATAGATGTATATATATGAATATATATTTATCCCGCTCCATCCTCACATCAGCAGTAGTATTAAATGATAAGTATCTCATGACATGAGAACCAGATCAAGGTAGTAACGCATAATATGCTGCTACTATACACGATCATATCAGGCCTCAACAAACAAACTCTATCTGGTCCATGAACGTGCTGGCATACCTACTACTACTACTACTACTACTACTACTACTACTACTACTACTACTACTACTACTACTACTACTACTACTACTACTACTACTACTACTACTACTACCACCACCTAGTACTGACCGTAAGTATATTCACACTCGTATCCAGACAAACCGCCAGCCAGCTTCGAACGCCACCATCGAACTTCCAATACCACATATATACATATCTCCCAATGACACACCCACGAGGAGGAGGAGCCCAAGCACGAGCACGAGCAACTCAAGCACCATCGTGTATCTATCTCACCGTCAATTCAGATCAGATAAAAAAAAACCCTGGCCAGGACACAGTAACGACGCCACCTCATGCAAAGCTTCATCAGGGCGGGCTTCGCTTAACTATGAAGATGAAGTGAGTGAGTGATACCACGTAGCAGATGTCATCATATATAATAGTACTAGTTACTAAGTAAGGTATAAACGATCCAAAGTACTTGAACAGAAAGAACCGGTACTTTCCTACTACAACTAGTAGTAGTTAATACGGTCGTTTTCAATCTATCTTGCAAATACTATCAATACTTTCAATCACTCAATATCTGCCTGCCTGCGGTGTTTGTATTTATACCATACAGAAAGAGTAGAGAGAAACACGTAAGTAAGTAAGTTATTACTTACACACATACATACATTCAAACAACAATTTGAATACAATCAACTACTTACTACTGCTACTGCTACTACTACTAATTAACCTTCCAAATGGGATACCCAGAAGGGCGAGGCTTTCACATAGTACCATACATAGTAAGTACACCTTTAACAAACCACGTAAAGATACCTACCTACCTAGTTCCATCACATATATTCTACTATACTTTACTTTACTATACTATACTATACTATACTAGTCCCGAAACCTGATCCCATCCCTACTAGTCCATAACTCCGTAGTGACTGACTGACTGACTGACTTCATCAGCATCAGCATCACATCACATCACATCCAGCATCGTGACACCAATAACCACAATAATAACATGACTGCATCCACGCTGCTATAAGATTGGCGGGAATGGCTATCAGTCAGCAGAACGCAGAGCAAGTCCAGTTGTTTGTTCTGTGGTGTGTGTGGCGCTAGTACATGCATGCCATGCAATGCATCCTGCAGAGTCCGGGTTTTCTGTCTGGCAGGTGCCTGCCCTTTTTTCTACACCGCTACTATTGTTCATGGTGCTGATTCTTCTCCTCTTTTTTTTCTTTTTCTTTTGTCGCTTTGCGCGTGGAAAAGAAAAGAGCAGGGTGTGGTGGGTTTGAGGGGTAAGAAGGGTTACTGCTACTAAGTAGTTTAAGGAGAGGGTTGATAGTGTACGGCAGTTGAGGTTGATGCAAGTTCAATATTTGCTACGACTTCGGATGGTTTACCAAATCAAAACGCCAATATATATAATACTATGTGTGTGTGTGCGTATATTCCAGCAAGATCATACTTTTTTTAGTCACACCCTGACAGAACAGACCTCCACTTCCTATCTAGACCCAGACAGACAAAACACCTCCGAGCAATCCGGAATCGCTAATCACATCTCGTATGATTCCACGCTCGAATCGAATACCTGGTTCCGCGGTGCAATACCGACACCCCTCCCACACCCCCTTTTTTTTCCTTTCAACTTTTTTATTTTTTAAACGTCCTCACTTTGCGTCCCAATCAGACGCACAGACTTGCTATGGACCCCCATGCAGCGCTCGAACAATAGCTCTGTCTATGTACGAAGTACAGACAAAGCCGGGCCTGTTCCACGGGGTACGCATGGTACGCAGTCTCATAACGCAGCCCAGTGAGTCATGTCGGGGGCGAGGGATCGGCCTGAAACCAGACAGGCTACCCTTCCGGCCATCTTGGAAGCGCCATGTTCGTCATAAGCGCTAGGATTGTTGCGTAACTCCAGGCCCGTCGCTGCTGTCAAGGAGTCCGGCCTCTTTGACCAGCTCATAAAACCGGCCTTCGCGCTTGATCAGCTCCGCAGGCGTGTCGAACTCGACCACCCGGCCCTTGTCGAGCACCACGATTCGATCAGAATCGATAATGGTATTGATACGATGTGCGATAGTGATGATCGTCCGGTCTTGGAAAATGCTGCTGCGCAACGTGCGTTGCAGCAATGCGTCCGTTTCCACATCCACTGCCGCCTAAAGCTAACTGTAAGTTTGGAGGCGAAATGAAAGAAAAACGGGGGTAAAGTAATGAAACAACCAAATTGCAATGCGATTGGCCACGTACCGTTGCCTCGTCCAGCACGAGAATATTACTAGGCGTCAACAGCGCTCGCGCCAGGGAAACCAGCTGTCGCTGCCCTTGACTGAGATTGGATCCTGCCAATAACTAGGTTAATCCAGATCCTTAATGTGGTAAAAACCGCGCAGAATGCACGAGAGAGAGGCCAAAACCAGCCACATGCTTACCTCCTTCCTGAATTTGGGCATCCAACTGACCGTCCATTTGCGCGATGTGATCTTTAAGTCGCGCATGTTCTGCAGCAATCACAGGTCAGTTAATTAATCACGCTTAGCGTTCGTATGCAATGTAGCCCAACGTACCAAGCACGCTCCAGAGTTCGGTGTCATCATGCACATGTCGTGGGTCCAAATTATCCCGTACGGTTCCTTCAAACATGGCCGGATCTTGAGGAATGATGGCAAGGCGGCCCCGCAGGTCGAAAAGACCAATGGTCGACACGTTCAGTCCGTCGATGCTACACACAGCGTTAGCCTTTGAACCTATTTCGCCACGATGGAATAACGTCGGGCAGCAGTCCTTACCTGATGCTGCCATTATCTGGTTCGATAATGCGGAACAGTGCCAGAGTCAGTGAACTCTTGCCTGCACCTGTGCGACCAACCACGCCGATCTTCTCGTGGGGCTTGATATCAAGATTGATATCTTTGAGCACGAGATCAAGCCCTGGGCGGTAACGTGTGCTGTAGTTGTTGAACGATACCGCGCCTTGCGCTGGCCAGCCAATAGCAGGACGATGCTTGAAAATCACCTCTGGTGCCTCGCTGGGCAGGCTTGCGTACTCTAGTACACGCTCAACCGACACGATGTTGGTCTCAACCTCGACCGTCTGGCGGACGATCCAGTTCAGGGATTGGGTAATCTGTAGAGCGTAGGACATGGCTAGACCAACCATGCCAGCAGATATCCCACTGCCGGTCGCTACGGAAACGATAGAAAGTACCGCGGAAGCCAGGATGATTACAGAGCCAATGAACTCGAGACGCACAGCCAGCCAACGGTTGGCACTGATGGATGGAAAGTATGCACGCACATTCGCATCCATTCGCCACTCGTTCTCCAGAGTAAATCGCTCTTCCTGTCTATAGGCACGAATCGTCGAAATGCCCCCCAGAGACTCCTGGAAATGAGCATAGATAGGACTGCGCGTAACGCTGTCCAAGCGCTTCAGTTCACGCGATGTGCGGAGGTAGTACTTTTGGTAGCTGAAGTATACGTAGCTCAAGGGAACCACCAGAATGAGGAACGCCGGGGTTGAGGATGCGATAACAATCATGGTGAAAATGGCTTTGGCAGAGTTTCCGAAGAGCTATGCAGATGTAAGCGACAGTAGCCAATCATAAGAGAATCTCAAACTCACCATGTTGAAAGTCCGCGCAAGCACTTCATCAATGCGATAGACGTCGCTGACCAAGTAAAGTTAGCCTTCCTCGATCAAATGTCATATCTCGATGATACCAGGAAAAGAACTCACCTAGAGAATCGGTTAAGAATTCGGCCGGATGGTGTTGTCTCGAAGAAGCTCATGGGAGAACGGAAAATGGCGAATGCCATGCGTTCATGAAGTTTGCGGGAAGCCTAGCATATGGTTAAGCAATTGATTTGGAGGCATCTTAGGTTACGGGAAATCCAGCATACCTCAATAGAACAGAAAATCCACAAGATCAAATTCTGAAGGATGACCAGAAGGGATGATCCCAAACCAAAGGCCAAGTAGATACCAATGTATTTGCCGACAGGCACACCTGGCTGAGCTTCGGTAACTTCAGACCAGTGCTTAAGCCAAAAACTGCCTAAGACCTGCGCAGTCTGGGCTCCCAGGAGGGCGACCAGGTAGAAGCAAACGGCAACGATGTTACTGTTCTTAGCGTACTCTCCATAAACACTCCACTTGACTTTGCCTTGCTGCGATGTCTCTTGGGTTTGCTTGCTCTTCAGGACATTTTCTTCGTCCCCTAGCTTCCGCCTAGGGCCCTTCCAGCTGGCAGTGCTCGCACGCCGCAGAGTTACAGTGCTTGTTCTTCTACCACCAGCAGCCCTAATTGGAGCAAGGGCACCGATTTCTCGCTCAGCATCCTCGGGATCCGAGTCAGACTCCGCGTTGTCGATTACAGTGGCAGATTCCGAGCTTTCAGGGCTCGCTAGGTCACGGCTATCAGTGCCAGACTCTTCGTCGTCGTCCGAGTCGTTCATCGTGGTACGAACCAGGTTCGCGACCTCACCCTTCATAGCCAGCAATTGTTCATAGGTTCCGCTCTCGATAATGGTCTTGTTGCGCAGCAGGCCGATGTAATCAGCCTCCTTCAAAACAGGAATAGCATTTGTCGCAAGGATCCTAGTTTTGGTGCTCAGGATACCGTTTTGACCAAGAACCCTGTTGATGAGATGTCTTCCCACATGTTGATCGACTGCAGAGAGCACATCATCGAGAAGGTAAATGTCGGCACGAGCATAGACAGCTCTAGCGAGGGTCAACCGAGCCTTTTGTCCTCCAGACAGTGAGATTCCTCTTTCACCAACTTCGGTTTGATCACCATCCGGCAGATTCTTGAAATCGTCCAGCAAAGCACATGCCTCGACGGTGAGGTCGTAGAATTGGGGGTCCCAGCGATGACCAAAAACGATGTTTTCACGGACGCTTGCGTTCATGACCCAGGGCGATTGGGCAACATAGGCAATGCGACCTCGTACAACAACTTCACCTTCGGTCCTCCACAAATCACCCAGCAATGACTGAAGCAAAGACGATTTACCAGCTCCAACTCTCCCAACAATGCAGCTGAGCTCACCCTTACGGGCACTGAAGCTGATGTTTTCGATCACGTGCGTGCCTTCGTATCTGTTCCATGTGAAGGAAGCATCCTGGATCCTGACAGACTCGTCGCCGATATGAGAAACGGTATCCTCAATCTTGACAGCGTCGGTTTGCAATTCCTCTGCAGTGAAATAATCCGTTAGACGCTTGACAGCCACCGAGGCCTCAATGACAGCCGTGATGACCATTGGAAGGATAGAGAGCGGGAAAGTAAGCAGATTGAAGAGTGTCAAGGCCGGAAACACCACATCCGTGGTAAGAGGCTTGTCTTGCGTCAAGGCGTAGACAGTGAATGTGGAGCAAGAGACAAGGAAGGGGGTGGACTGCCAGGTAAAGTTTGCAATGGACTGTGTCGCACCGATTTTGCGGAGCGTGTTCAATTCCAAGTCATTACGGATGTGGCTGAGCTTGTTCATGAAGGCTGTATTCCATGCGTAAAGTTTGATACTCTTGATGTTGTTCAAAATCTCCGTCATCAGTCGTGATCTTGAATCCTTGTTCTTCATCTGAATAAGCTGCAGCTTCTTCATCATCCGAGCTATCACACCGTTCAACGGAATCATGAGTAGCATTACACCGATTCCCGCGAACATGCTGTATCCGACAAGCTGATAGAGAGAGAGCATGCAGAGGGTGATCTGGAACGGCGCGGACCATAGCTGAACACCGAACTGGGTGAGATCGGACAAGCGCTGCTGATCGACAGCCATATGATTGACAATGTCACCAGTTGTCTTCGTTGAGCGGCCCTCGCTTGAGAGTCTCAGTGACTTCGCATAGATCAGGCCAGTCAGAGCAGACTTGACGCGCATACCGGTGTCAAAGGCCCTTTGGAAGTATTGGTGAAGACACATGGTCTGCGATACAGACACCAGAAACATGGCGAGGGCTATGGCCACACCCCGAATGACTGGTTGAGGCTCGTCGGTCCGGTAGGAATTGATGAAGTTGATCAGCAGACGCAGAAGCTGGGGCTGGACGAAGGCCAGCGTGTCGCTTCCGCATTTGATTATTCCACCACGCAAGAAAGAGCCACCGAATGATTTGATCAAAGCCAACGATAGAGAAGGATTGCTCTTCTTCAGCTCATGTTCCCAGTTCTCCCTCAGTGTCGCCCCAGTCACGCCGGTTGTATCGCGACGGCGGAGGTTCCAGAGATCATCTTGGGTCAAAAAGTTCTTGTAGCCGAATTTCATCATCGGGGTCATCCAGCTGAAAGTAAGGACCGAGAAGATATCTGCATATTCATAAGGGCATTCATCCTCGTCGCCCAACGCATCGTAGGCGCTCTGTTTCTTGGGGACCAAGTACTCTAGAGCGAATTCCAAGAGCGCCAGCCCCAAGCTCACCGAGAAAGTAACGAAATATGGAAGCTGATCCTGATATGCCTTTCGTGCCACAAGCGACCGCAATTTGATTCCGTAGACGATGGTGAAGAAGAGCCAGTAGAACAAGACGACGCCGTTGGGCTGCCTGCTGCGCCAGTGCTCATGATACTGCACTGCAAAGATGACGCCGAGAGAAGCAAGCACAAGGACTGAGCTCCAAAATTGAAAGTCGGCAAACCAGGTATCCGGGTAAGTTTCGACCTGAATGGCTGCCTGTAGGGCAGTAGCAAAGATTAAGGCGGACAAAACGACCTAAGCATAGGGGCAATGGGCACCGGTCAGTCCATAGACAGGGATGCTATAGGGGAAGGGATAGGATACTAACCAGCTTGGCATAAAAATGCCAGTTCTTCGACACAGGCTGAGGGATTCGCTTTTTAAGCAGGAACCACACAGCACCTGTACCCATAAGCAGACCCCATGCTGCAACGACAGCCACTCCGGCATCTAGAAAGCATGGCGTCAAATCGAATCTGAACTTGCTAATCGGGCCCCAGCCCTCGACGTCGCCACAGAAGGGCTGCGACTTGGGGGACTGGAATGCTGTGTTCGGGTTTGACGATAGCAGGGATCCGGGGGTGGAATCCCCCAGGAACGTTTGGGAACTGCCTTCCAGCATTTTCCCCGAATGTGAGTATCCCAACCACTAGATCGCTCGTCCTTTCGGACATGCAACGGGGGGAAAGGGAGAAGCAGTGAAAAGCCCCGAGGTTGCCTTTTCACGCAAGGAAGGATTGCGATCGTGAAGGAAGAACGTTTCGTCGAGGGCGATAACCACAGAGAACTACTGATTCGTTAGTGAGCTGCAAGTTGCTTACTAAAAGGCATCGGGGCCCAAGCTTTTGCGGAAAAGATACAAGGCTAAGTAAGCAGTCGTACAAGGGCGTTACCGTTTTGCCCGGCCTGATAAGCGGCATAAGCGCTTGGCCCCCTTTTTCCTTTCCCTGGTGCAGTTGCGATGAATGCAAACCCTTTTGTAATCCGTATATAAAGCGTGGATGTTGGTATAAGTTGAAGCGTTGCAGTTGTCCTCCCGTCCTCCTGTACCTTTTCTGGTCAAAGTCAAGACGGGAGGGATGTATTCCGAACTTATGACATAATTCGGTCTCTTTCCTCGTGGTAACGGTGCTTGGCAGGGTTGATCCAAGGTTCTCGACCGAAAGCAGTAGTATCCTCTATAACTGCCATTCTATCACTCTACTCGGTCTTACAAGTCCATTGAACCTTCTATTTCCGAGATTCATACAGTGTCCCATCAACGGTTCGGGGATTGAGAAGCGCACAGTCCGACAGAGATGATAGACTGGAGAAGAGTAGTAGGTGGGCGGAGGCAATAACCAATGATGTAATGAACGGCTGCTTATCTACGCAGTGCTAGTCTACTACTGTAGTAGTTTCACTTGAGTTAACTCCGGACTCGCCGGATCATCCCAGTCCAGCCTCAGAGGAATGGCCGACTTTGGATTGTAGTCGCTTACACTTCTGGTAAATCATTATGTAACTGCCTGCTGTTCCAATCTGACAGTGTTTCTGGTTGTCTTATTAAATCCTACAACTAGGATCAGCTTCCGCGGATTCTCGTACGCCTAGTAGTAATAGAGTAAGTAATTTACTTTCAGAGCGGTGACTCGCCTTTAGATGACACTAATCGATGTCGTGCTTACCCGCCGGAATGTGCTCAGCCTGATTGGATGTTTTGAAGGTCTCGGGGTCGGCGTTTAAGCCCAAATTAGCACCGACTACCCCACCCGGAGATACCGCCTGTTCGGAGTAAACTTCCAGAATCTCTGCCCGCCCTCACGGTATCTACATCGGACACCAGACTGCGATCGACCGTCTGCTCATCGCCTTTTCTATCGCTTGAGGCAGTTAGATGAATGCCATTGGGCAACACCGTTACTAGTTACTGTAGCCTATCAGCCCTGCTCCACTTGGAAAGAGTGCTATCTACCAGATATCCACAGTAGCCTGTGTGTTGATCGCAGCCTCTGTCATCGTCAAGCAAGCTTCATCGGGATAGGCAGTTGCATGTCTCGGATATCGAGGAAAATATTGTAATAGGGGCATAGAATATGTGGACAGAGTATTGGAAGCATGCTCGCCTGACGACGTACAGATAATACTGATAATAATGTTTCTGGGGCTACTTCGAACGGCGGGCTATGCTATTTCCAACTTACCGCATGTTCACAACCAGTAGTCCTAGACTGTCTCACCGCTTCCATTGAATTTCATTATCCTCGATCCGGTGATGCAGCAGATACTTAATATTCTACAATAGTAATGGCCAGTCTGGGACCGAACAATGGAACAGCTGCCTTCCAGAAGCATTTGGATCGAGGCTCGCGCCCCACCTCCAAGGCGGAAGGCGGTGAGTAGGCTTGCACGAGGGGTTCCTGCAGCGTCATTCTTTTGGCGCGCAACATTCAAATCCCAGATCGCTCAAAACTTCAACAACAGGCGTGCGTTTTCTGGGGCGTCAACATGGCTGCAGATACACCTCTTGAAGAACTCATTAAAAGGCCTCTATATGGTAAGAACTGGAGTTCGCTCGTCCCTGAATTGAGCCTTTTATTTATTAATTTCATAGTGATAGATGGCTTGCTGACATATTATTACATCCAAAGTGTACAATCTTCCACAGGAACTTCTCTCGACGCTGACCACAAAGCATGAAAACCAATCGATATTACGGGCGGACACTCCTGAAGCTGTTTCAGACAAGACGGATGAAGTAGTGTTGGATCACGCGGTGGCCTCGACGACAAGTTGTACTCTCTGCAGGGTCTCGTATCTGAACGTCCAAGAACAACGGAGTCATGTTCGCTCAGATCATCATAGATACAACCTGAAGGCGCAGCTTAGGGGTGGTCCGACGTTGGACGAGTCTCAATTCGCAAAGGCTATAGGGGAACTCGACGAGTCTATATCTGGGTCCGAGTCGTCAGAAGCAGAGGATGAGGAAGAGAATGATCAACTTTCAGCATTGCTGAAGAAACAGGCCAAACTCTCCCAGGTGACCGATGAGGATGAAGCACCATCGAAGAAGATGAATTCCGGCAGGCCACCTCTTTCTTGGCTCTCTAGCACACGACTGCCTTCCAACATTTCCTTAGGTGTCTACCGGGCTTTGTTCTCAAATGCTGAACAGGATGAGCCCAGATACCTCGTTGAAACCATAAAAAGAAAGCAACTCCCGCCTATCATGCAACCGAGAGCCAACGGAAATGCTCCAGAGGCGCCGTCATCACCCAGCCCTCATGTTTTCATGTGCATGATAGGGGGCGGTCACTTCGCTGCTATGCTGGTCTCGCTGGCTCCCGAGATCCACCGGAGGCAGGGTGGTATTGAGGATAGACAAGCTCGAGTCATTGCGCACAAGACGTTCCATCGTTACACGACCAGACGAAAGCAAGGTGGCTCACAATCTGCTAATGATGCTGCCAAGGGAGCCGCACATTCGGCAGGTTCCAGTCTCAGAAGATACAACGAAGCTGCATTAGAGAAGGAGATCAGAGATTTATTGGCCGATTGGAAACAGATGATTGACGAGGCCGAATTATTGTTTGTTCGTGCCACGGGCAGTACGAATCGTCGAATCCTTTTCAGCCAGTACGAGGGCCAGGTTCTCAGGCAAAACGACCCGAGATTGAGAGGCTTCCCGTTCAGCACCCGTCGAGCAACCCAAAGCGAGCTGATGCGTTGCTTCAAGGAGCTCACCCGTGTGAAAGTAAGCCAAGTCGACGAAGCCGCATTGGCGGCTGCAGAGGCCAAGCAACGGGACGAAGTGTCGAAGCCATCAACTCCACGGCCTCAACAGCAGAAGCCCAAGGTTTCTAAAGAAGATGAAGAGGCTATGCTTCACACAACCCAAATACAAGCTCTTATCCGTCGTTCTAAGATCCCAGCCTTGATGACCTATCTATCGAAGAACTCGATCCCTACATCCTTCATCTTTCGACCTTCCGACTCTCAGCAGAATTTCCGCTGTCCTACCCCCCTCCACTTCGCTGCTAATCTGAACTCACCATCCATGGTCCTTGCCCTTTTGACCAAAACTACAGCAGATCCGACCGCAACCAATGGTGAAGGAAGAACGCCATTCGAGCTTGCTGGGGATCGTGCGACGCGAGACGCCTTCCGCGTTGCGCGTCACGAGCTAGGCGAGTCAAAGTGGAATTGGGAGGCTACCAAAGTGCCGTCACCAATCTCTCGAGACGAGGCCAACAACCGCTCTGAGAGGGAGCGAAAAACCGCAGAAGAAGAAGAGACTAGTCGACGCAAGGCTGAAATGGATCGTTTGAAAAAGGAGGAAGCGGCTAGTGCGGCACAACGCGCCGCCAAGAAACCAGCTGGTCGAACGCTGGGGTCTGTTGAGAAGACGGCTTCTGAGAAGAGAGAAGAGGAGATGCGAGGTATGACGCCGGAAATGAGAATGCGGTTGGAACGAGAGCGCCGCGCTAGAGCAGCTGAGGAACGCTTTCGAAGAATGCAAGGGCAGTGATGGGCTAGCCACTCAACTCTTCCACTCTTTGCTTTACCCCAGATGTATGATGAAGTCATGGCCTGAGCATTGCATTTTACGGAGCGTATTGATGTCTTTTGACGAATAGAAATGAATGGCCACGGCAGCCAGCAGTCCATTTTCGGTTGTGCTCCGGCTGACTATACCTCGTATCCTGCTTTCTGAACCTATAAATGCTGGCAACTAGTAATTCAACGGCGACCCCATTTTATCAGCAGCATACTAGATAAGAGTGATAGTACAGTGGACGATCGTTGCTGCCTTGGAGCTTACCAGATAGGAAGGCAGGCACCAAACCCGTGACCTGCTGGCGTTGGAAGTTCCAACGGAACAACTTTATACTAAATGTTTATTATCCTATTCCTTGCCTCGTTGATTTTCTCAATTGATTTCTATCTATATCCCACCTAGCAAACAACCTAAGTTATCGTTATTCCTACAATTTCTCGATTACCCCAGCGCCCACCATGTCCTGGTCTCAGGCTTCGGATGCGGTAGGGATACTATATAGATGGTATCCAGAGACCGGCCAAGCAGGTGAGGAGCTGATCATTCGGAGCCATCAGACTGTATATGTCGGTAGAGACTCGGATAGATGGTACGCTTCTTTTCCCATCTCGCTTGTGGAGGTTAACTGGACAAAGCCATTTCGTCGTGGATGCTACGTTCATTTCTCGTCAACACCTCCGCATCTACACCGTCCTGTTCGACCATGAGAACCCTGGAACCATCTTGCCATTGGTTTACGCTGAGGATATCTCGGTAAATGGGGCCTTGTGGAATATCTACCCCATGGCAGGCATGGGTGGGTTTCTCCTCAGTGATGGCGATATACTCCAGCTGCCGAGGAGTATATTTCTCAAGTTCAGTTATCCGATGCATATGCAAGAACGCCTAGATGTCATCATGACAAAAGAGATTCAGGTAAGCAATGCTATTCTATTCTACACTGAGATCGATATGCTTGCTGATTTTCGCGGATTTTCGACAACTTGTACTGCGTCACACCACGTAAACTGGGTTCTGGTGCTTATGGACAGGTGTACATGGCCTACAACTCGATTAGTGGTCAGCAGCTTGCTTGCAAGGTTATAAACCTTCGACCTCTGAGGGAAAAGATAACCAGGGGATCATGGGCAAGCGACAATGATGACGACGATGGCGATACAACTGTCTTGCGAAAAGCCAAACTCTTCAGTGTGAAGTACGGGAAGAAGC